CGGAGGGTGAAAAGCGGGAAGAAGAACCAGTAGTTTTAGCATCCGGAGAGGATGATGCCGTGGATACGGCAGAAGCGACGGAAGAAGCAGGAAGCGAACTTGTCGAAGAAGAAGTCGAGGAGGAGAATCGGGAAGCAGAAGCATCGCCGTCTAGTAACACACGACAAAGAACAATGGCAGCGAATCTGGCGGCAGCAAGTGACGCCAATAATGCCAGAGGAATGACAGTGAGAAGATCGCCGAGATCACCTTTCTCGCCGAGGGTGGCAAGAGGTGCGAGGCCTACACCGATTGTGTGGGGCGAAACTCAATCGGGTAGAGGTGAGAAACGAAGCACGATTAAATAAGATTTTATCTGTCTATTTCGAGACAAGATCTTTTCTTTCATTACATTATCTTTTTATTTTAATAACGTGAATCTTTTTTCATTCTTTATATAAAAAATGAATGATTTACTACTCATAATTATTTTATGTATATATATATATATATATATATATATATTAAATTATTATTTACTTATTTTAGCATCTTTCAGTTTGCTCGTTTCTTGGCCTTCAACCTATTTTGCTTTGCATATACTGACTTTTGATTTTTAACTATTATTTTTAGAGTCCGATCGAAACTTTTACTGAAACTGAAAACGAACACTCATTACGTGTTAGTTTCGACTGAAATCATATAGCTCTTCATAAATATTAATTTTAATATGTGTAATTATTATTTTAATAATTAAATTATGATATTTAATATTGAAGAAGTAATTTATATTCTTTGGCCAAAATTGACACACAATCGAAATTTCGGTTTTCAATTTCAAAATTATTTACTGTTTCAATAAATTATGATATTTATGAAGAAAAAGTATATGATATATGGGTATGTCTATACATATGGCCTTTATAGGATTCCTATTTTTTAATTTTGGTTTCGGTTTCGGTTGAAATTGACATGTAGCCGAGTGCTTCGGTTCAGTTTCGTCAAAAGTTTCGAATTCTAGTTATTTTAAAAAGTTTAGCTTAGCGTATCTCCCCGCCCCTTCCCCCTGTCCCTCTTCCTCCCCCCCTCTCTTTCTGTTATCTAGATTATTGTGTATTATTTTGTTTTTTTTTTCTTTGTTACTGTATTTGATTACTTATTCCCGCTGCACTCTCTTGAACCGTATACATGCTATCGATTCGCTATTCGTTCATATCTCTCAATATTAATACGAATCACACTTTTGCAATGTCTCTGCTCTGCATTATCAGATAAGTTTGTACATTATTATTATTATTTTTTTAAATTCTAAATCGCTTCTCATCTTGTAACGTTACTCATCTGCTGTCTTGTTCTTGAGAGGGCTTGCCCTAGAACAATAATAAACGCTTTTATCTATCTATCTATCTATCTATCTATCTATCTATCTATCTATCTATCTATCTATCTATCTATCTATCTATCTATCTATCTATCTATCTATCTATCTATCTATCTATCTATCTATCTATCTATCTATCTATCTATCTATCTATCTATCTATCTATCTATCTATCTATCTATCTATCTATCTATCTATCTATCTATCTATCTATCTATCTATCTGTCTGTCTATGGCCTTGCGCACAATAGCAGAAATAAGGAATTAGGAATAAAGAATAAACAATTTTAACCTATCAGAAATCGGATATATGGGAATACGGTTTCTGAGTTAAAGTTAAAGTTGTTTATTCTTTATTCCTAATTCCTTATTCTTTCTATTGTGCGCAGGGTCTGCGCGCTCTCGCTACTCTCTCTCTCTCTCGCTCTCGCGCTCTCTCTCTCTCTCTCTCTCTCTCTCTCTCTCTCTCTCTTTAATTTAGATAATTTTTTAAATTCAAAATATTTTGTTTGTAAAAGCTTTATGTACAAATGTTAACATGAAACATTTCAATTTCTAAAGGACAGCCTGTGATGCGAGGACATGCGGCTAGAGGAGCCGCCAATGAGGGGGGACGAGGACGAGGGACACGAGGCCGACGAATGCGCTCGAAATATCCTTATGCCCGATATTCGTAATATCGCACAGCATCTCCTCTGCCTAATGTACGTCTTATATTCGCCAGACATTCTATGTAATTTATATTATCGAACACAGTTATGTTAAACGTCAGTAAACTGATTCATTCATTTATGTAATAAATGTTTTAATGTTCCTAATTGTTTAAAAAAAAAGTATCATTTTTTTCATATTTGTTCTCAGTAGAGTATTCTCAGTAGAGTATTCTAAGAAAAATTGAAAAAGTGATTTTTTTTTTTTTAAATAAAGATTTAAGGGTTGAAAAGGATTTTGTAATAATTTTGTCACTTTGAAAATATTATAAGAAAGTAATAAATTTTAGAATTAAAAAAATAAAGTTAGATTTCTGTTTCTTTTTCGAGTTTGATTTATTCATTTTGAAATCCATTTTAACCGAAGATCAAAAAACACTGTTTTTAAAGCATGCAGTACAAAATTAAATGCATTCAGTAAACAATATATTATATAATTTGTACACAATATTTGTATACGATTCGAGTTTCATTCATTGTACGCAAATTAACGATTTTTTTTTCAAGATTGACTTTAGAACAAGTGTCTGTAAGCGTTGGCGTTGAACGGCGCCGCCGGCTCTCATTTGGGCGTCAGTCCAATTCTTTTCACACGTCTGCGCGCTAAATCGAGAATACGTATTGTTTTGCTATTTCTGTCTTTCGTAGACAGGCGGATAAGCGATACAGTTAATAACGAAATGACTGTCGTGAAAATTGAAAATTAATGTTAACTTCTCTCGAGAATGGAAAAAAAACTAATAAACTGACTGATTTTTCTCAAATATAAAGAGAATTAACTTTGATATTTATAATAATTTTATAATGTAAAAGTTATTATAATTTTTCGAATCAGTGAAAAACAATCGAAATTATTTTACCTGAAATAAAAATTTAAATAAAAAGATTAAAGATATAGGTAACAAATATACATATATAGAAATAAATTTATACGAGTTAGTATAAAAATATCCAAAGCTGCAATTTATTTTTATATAAACATTTTTTCATTGTTTTACCTTTCATAAATTATTTGATACATAAAAATTAATTAATACAAAAATTAAATAATATTCGAGTTCATTAATTGCTAATTAGATGCTACAGGAATACTGTTGAATCCTTTCGACTCGTTGATTTTACATGGATCGTGATTTTCTCTTATTATTTTACTATTACGTTAAAGACGTAATCATCAATAAATAAATTAATTATAATACGAATAAATTGTTAGCTTTCTAAAATTGCGTTAAATTTAAAATTGTTAAATGTAAAATACTGTATTGCAAACTAAATTATAAAACGTTCCTTCTTACGTCTTATATAACAGTCGCGATTACTTCATTTTACTTATTTAATGTATAAATTTATTCGAGATAAAATAAGTATTAAAAAATTCATTGCTTATTTACAGAAGTTAAACTTGTAAAAAAATCGCTCATGATCGCAAAAAAGTCTTTCTTATTTTTTATTCTTGAAATACTATAATTTTGCGGTACGCGCTCTTTGTATAAAGCTATTTACGTACAAACGCAGTTATTTTCGCTGCGTCTGGATTTTGTTTAACTAATGTAAACTCCGCATGAACAGTATCGCATTTAGCAAATATATAGCGAAGTTATATTTAACGTGGCTGTTAGCTTCGCGACGTTATTACTTTCATATAAAGATCATGTTGAAAACGCGAATGCGAATGCATGAAAAGAGTAATTGGAACCAACATACATCTCACTTTGAAACTTGGTATTATCGCTACAAATTGATATGATCTTTTTATCACAATGTCGATTAATCCTTTTCTCTTAAAAATTAAAAAAAAATTGAGCTTTGTACGAACGACGTATCATGGCTCTCACCCGTAATACATGTTTGGCCCGATTTCCTTACCACGAGTCTCACACGACGTTGTAGGCGAAAGGGTTAAAAGTAGTCCTAAGTGTCTCTAAATTATTCACGATCACAATCTGTGAGGCAGCTAAAAATATAATAATCGTCGCTAAGCTTCACTTTGTGTAATCACTTAAATAGAACATCTTGGATGTTTAGAATATTCACAAAGAAATATAACATGTGTTATATTAAAAGACTTACTTTTTTGATATCCAATAGGATATTCTAATCCTCTTACATTTATTCTATCATACTAAATTGCATAAAAAAGAAGTTTGGCACGGTTTGAAGTCTAATAAATACGTTAACATTGAAAGATATCACCACGAGATAGAGGTCCTCAATAAAAATAGATGTCTGTATAAGATATTTATATATAAAACATAAATCTTCGTCGACTAAAGGATCGAAGTTTTTTTTTTCGGAAAACTAGTCACCGAAATTGGATCTTTAAATTCTTAAATTTACCTATTTGGTTCGTTTCCTTTTTTTCACTCATCCAAATAATGATTTTTGCATTCAAAGTATTCTTCATGACAATCCTTCACAATCACAATCACTTATTGAGCGACTTTCTTTTGTATTTTCTATTAGTTCTTAATTTTTTAATTAGATTTGTTAATTAAGCTAATTTGGAGTATCAAAGTCCGTATATAGTGTTTGCTAACTAATTTCACTTTATCGCTTCTTGTTTTCTGTCATCAACGGAATAGATAAGTCGAGTATTAATTATAAAAACTGTTCTTAGTCTCTCAACTACAATTGACAAATACATTTATCAACACTTTATATCAGTTTTTTTGTAATATTGCACTGTATATTAAAAATTCTTGGCGAGCAAACTAGTGTTGTCGTATCTTTAATTTCCGTTCTACCACGACCCGCAATTTTAAGGAAACCTTAAGAATGAAGAAGATTAAAGTTTATACAAATAGAAATCTTAAAAAATGAATCCCAGTCTTGAGTAACCAACTTCAATTGACACGTTATTCTTCTTCCAGCACAGTATTGTCAATCGAAATTCAGGATAATCAGTCAACTGCTGATCGATCTACTTGCAGTTCTCTGCTTCAATGCTGAATCTAGGATCCAAGGAACTTCAAGGATCAAAGAATCTGTATACTAGGTGGCCGAGTGTCCTCTCTAAGTCTCTCACTAGCACTACTGATCTCGCAACTACACCTGCCATGCTGTTCGATCCTGATCCATACCCTCCTCGTGCTATTCGTCAACAGGCTCCAAACCTCGACCTCCATGTCCTCGTGATAAATTGACGACGGTACCGGCGCGCAGCTGAGATCGGGACTAACGCAGCAGCCTGAGTGGTTGTCACACTTCTTCACCACAATGTACACCGGCTGATTCACGCTCTCGCTTGGTTGCATACTGTGCACCAGATCTCTCAGATTGTAAGCTCTCGATTGGGGCTCTCTGCAGAGAAATTTCTTGGTAGCCTCCATCGCACGTGGCAGATGGATCCTCCTCGGGACTCGATGATAATGACCGCCGTGATGAGCCGTCAAGACTACCATCATCTGATCCACCGTCGTCAGGATGAGAATCAAGAGTCTTAGAAGCGATCCCCTCGGTCTGCCTTTCATTATTGGTCCTAGCTGATTTCCTAGTCGGAAAGTAAACTCAAAACTTGGATTTTTTTACTGAGAAGCTCAACCGTACTTGATTGCTGAATTGATCTGTGATTCCTGGCCTTAACAAATTAATCGTTATTGATCACTGAATTTGCAAGGTCTTGGTCCCATTGATTCTTTCGCTCAAGAATTACGTTATACTAAACCAAACTGAAGATATCAAGAATGCAGGAAAGATAAAAAATTCTTCTTGCTGCGTCTTTTTAAGAACGAAATCACCACGCTTTCAGAAAACTGAAGAGATTCTTTTTCTTCTTGGATTTTTCTCTGCTTTATTGATTTATTTTTTAGATTTTCTTTGCTTTATAAATTTATCTTCGTGCTTCTTTTCTAAAGAAAAAGGATGCTAGCACAATAAACTTGGGTTTGCTTGAAAGGTGAAATATCTTCTCTTCTTCCTTTCCTTTTTCCCTTCGAGAAGCAAGAAAATCACATGGTGAACTTTTGAACAGTGATAGCTGGATGAGAGAAGAGCTACACAGGCACCAAGTATCGGCCGACTGAGATTTTCCCACTGACACACGAGTATTTATATATGGAAGAGCTTGCACGCATGCCTCACGCAAGAACACGCGTAAAGTCCAGATCGCGCGTGCCTTCCGCGATGATTCCGCTTTATTGTGCAACCGTTTTACAGACGAGTGTGCAGGCATTGCTGTTTAACCCTTTGCACTTTGAATAATAATTGTCACAGCCGGTAATGAATCTGTCAAGTATATTGATAACTATGAATAATGTAAATATAATGAATAATGTATTGACATAATTTAAGGAAATAAAATAACAATAATGTATTGATATCTAGAATTAATATCGATATTTCCGATTAAAGATCCCGGCACTAATCTTATGTAAAATGGATCCCAGTCGAATTGGCTGAAATTTTACTACAATGTAGATCATGATGTCCTGATCAAAGTCCGCATGGGCACAAGGTCCAAAAATGGATTAGTTTTCGAAATATTGAAAATCAAATGTTGGAATTTAGCCATATTTCCAATATTTAACATCCAACTTGTCTCGAAAACTGTCCATTTTTGGACCTTGTGTCCATGAGGACTTTTTATCAGGACATCCTGATCTATATTATAAAATTCAGTCAATTTGACGGAGATCCATTTTACATAAAATTAGTGCGATTCCTTTATTAGTCCTTTATTAAATATTTTTAATAATAAATTACTTAGTTACAATTTTCAGAATTAATTTTTATACATACATAACATAACAACGGACCCTGCATAAAGCATAAATGTTACAACGAAAAATGGGTCCCGGCTAATTTGGCTAAATGTGTAATATATTATAGTATACCTAATAATTACGGCATAAATAAGTAATAAAAGAAAACGATATATGAATTAACAATTTTATTAAATAAAAGGAAAAAAGATATAAACACATTGATTTCAATAATGATGATTTAATAATAATAAATAATAAAACTGTCATAATAAAATATAATCTGTGATACAACGTTCGATGACACAATATAAAAATTAAAAATGAATAATTTTATAACTGATGAATCGTATAATAAGACAAAAATTCGATTTTTTTTCTTCACAGTAAATTAATTGGTGAATAATTTGAAATATTTATTTGTTGAACAATTACTGCGCGGATTGTCACTTTAAAAATCATCTTTCGCGGCTTCTAATAACGGCGGCGAAATTATCTTCTCGCGAATGATGATTACTTCGAATATTTTGATTGCTTTGTTAATTTCCACGAACTGTAAAATGCTCTTTTCTTCCTTTCACACGGAAAAAATAAACCTACTTGTCTTTACGGAAGTCTTATTATTATTATAATGCTAGAAAAGTAAACAGTAAATAGTAAATGTTAGAAGAATAAACGGTATATACGGTAAATACCATTTCTCAAATTTTGAATTTTTCAGTAATAAGTAATATAATTATATCTTTTTAAATTGACAAAATTGTAAATTTTACTATTATTTAATGAAACTTAAAATTTTTCAATGTTTTTTTTCTTTCTAGTTTCTCTTGTCTAATTTTTATTGATTTAAGTATTTACAATATTTGTACGTGATTCTTTTCTCCAGATTAAAGTTACGCGCTAACTCGTTTTACGAGAAAAATAGAAATCCTCGAGGAAATCCAGTACTCAAAGATATGATAACTACCAAGTGCGTCATCTTGACAGGTGAATAAATAATAATAATAGATAATAACCAAATGCAAAAAGATTAAATTAATACGTATTAATCACGTTTATTTTCTCAATAACGATGCAATATGTGATACATTTGCATCTTAAAGGCTTTTTTACGTAAATCAACTATTGACTATCAATTAATATGCAATTAAATAATCTTTTGCAACACTTCGTCAGATTCATTAGATTCTATCAAAGTCTGAACTGAGAAGTAATAAATAAATATTATATGTACTTCCTACTTAATGTATTTTATGTTAATATTATGTTTATATTATGTTAAATTATATAATCCTACAGCACAAAGTTGTATAAAAGTTGCAGCAACACTACTGCAACATTGCATGTTGCAGCAATATTGCAAAGATTTTGCAGCAATATTGCTGCAAATTTTGTGCTGTATGGGAAGTGAATATGAATTAAATACGCAATTATTTGGCATTGTGTCTTATTAATTCTAATTGTAAATTACATTTTTATAAATTGTGCAATTTGGTAAACGTTATTTTCTTTTTACAATATATATTTTATACGTTAAAAAATCAAAGTTATTTATTTATTTAAGTTATTTTCTGCCCAGGATGAGATTTCTTAGAATTAATTTTAGAATAGAATAAATTTATTTCTTTTCCGCTTTCTTGTTCTCGGGAACTAATTTGAAAAATAGATGAATCAAGCGGAACAAATGTACTTCCAGTAAATCTAATATTGTCATCGTAATTAAGTTTTTTTAGAATTAATTATATATGCGGCGGGCGCCCATAATCGGAATTTCTTATTGCACAGGCGCCACTTTATTAGAAATTTATGGCCACATGCCAAACCGTATATTTACATCGATCATGTAATTAATTCTTTTATCAATTATTATACGCACATGAGCATTAAAAAATACATTAATGAAAGTACTTCCCATCACTTGTAAAACGCTACGAATTAATTCCAACATCTAATATATTCAAAATATTTTTTATATTCAATGTATATTTTATTTTAATAAAATAAAGTATTTTATTTTAATAAAATATTAATTTTTTTAAAATTATAAATATATACAGTACTTATCTATATATTTTTTTAGATCAATTGTTTTTAGAAAATTATTATATTTATAATCAATTAATGTTTTAAATATACTATTTGATAAATTGTTAATAATATCGTTATCAAATATGCATAAGCTGAACAATAAACATACATATTGAATAATGTATAAAATTTAGAATTAATTTTTTACGCAAATTAATCACAATACAGATCAAGATTGTAAAACAATTTCGTCAGTATAATTTTCGCCAAATAATTTTGCACCTGTTACAAAAGACTGAAACATGATGAAGCCGTTCCTCATGAGCTGTGTGACGCAGGTGGGAACACCTAGCCGAAGAATTTTCTTTCCTTCATCGGGAGTTCCCTTATTGCTGACATCATTCATAATGTGCTCTTATTCAACTATATATTAACATACGCGCTCTTTTATAAAAGATATTTTAATAGTAAATTATCAAATAATTTTTTAATTATTTATCGCTGAATATTTATAAAAATACACATTGGATATTAGTTATTAATTAATTATAGATAAATAATTTGCTGCTCTTGAATGTTTCTTTAATCTTAAATTATTTCAAGTAACTGCTAATAAATAACTGCCAAGTCATTTATTATTATACGTAAGAATGACGTATTGCCAACGTAGTTGTCCGTAGTTGTTACTATTGAATATTCATCGCGTATGTATGAATAGAACTTCCTTCCTGGCTTATGCAATTCATTAACAGATTCCCATTCCAGAAATAATATGTGATACGGTCCAATTTATAATTACACAAAATGATTAATCTATGTTCTAAGAGCCCCTATTTTTCTATAGTAAAGATGACTCCTAGAGTTAATTGATTATCATTAACGATGATAATCATTAACGATGATTATTCTTGTATAATGCGTACTTTAACTTACAATTCGATAGCTTTGGAATTCTTTACTTTTGCAATATTGTTTTTTTTTATTTATTAGGTGTTGGAATTAATTCGTAGCATTTTACAAGTGATGGGAAGTACTTTCATTAATGTATTTTTTAATGCTCATGTGAAATAAATAACATTCTTTCATTAAAAAACGCTACGAATTAATTCCAACACCTAATATAATTTTTTTATTTATCTTCTTTATTCTAATCCCTCCTGGTAAAAATTTTTTTTATAATTTTTATACGAATATTTTTCAGAAATACTGAAAAATATTTGGAAAGTTTACATCTTCTCTCAGAATTTTTCATACAAGTGTATTCTGAAATATTCTGAAATTTCTTATCCCATAATTAAAAAAAAATATTTAAAAATTTTTTAGATCTTATAACATTTTATCAGAAATTATACTTACAAAAAATCTTACAAGAAATCTTTTACGATATTCCATAATTAACATATATGAAAAATTCTTAGGAGAGATGTAAATTTTCTGAGAAATTTAAATTTTATTTCAATTCGTATAAAAAATGTGAAAAAATTATAAAATTATATAGAAATTCTGAAAAATTATATGAAAAATTCTGAGAAAAATTTTAATCAGGACCGGGAAAAAATGTTATATATACAGGATATCCCGTAAATTTTCAATCGCTTTTATGTAGATAGAGCGGACTGAGTCGAAAAGTCCTCTACTTTTTGCAATTTCGCGATAGTTAACAAAATATTAATTATATAATATTAAAAATTGCCAAATACTGGTTTTGAATAATTTTACTCAAATACTATCAATTTTACAGAAACACTAAAAAGAGACAAAAATCATTTATTTTATTCTCTAAAATAAAACTCTAAGAATTTTTCAGAATTTTTTATCAACTTTTTAATATTGCATTTTCTTATTTGTACCAACATGAGAAAATGCGGTATTAAAAAATTCTGAAAAAATTTTCAGAACTTTATGAAAAGAAAATAAACAATTTTTGTCTCTCGCTGTTTTTCTATAAAGTTGATAGTATTTGAATAAAGTTGATAGTATATGAATAAAAAATTATTGAAAATCGATGTTTAGCAATTTCTAGTAATTAATATCTTGTTAATTATCGCGAAAATTGCAAAAGTAGAAGACTTTTCGGAGTTTCAGTTTAATTCGCACTATCTACACGAAAGCGTCTGGCCAAACGGGACACCCTATATATATATATATACACACACACACACACACATGCGCGCGCGCACACATAGTATATATGAACATGTTTTATACATATATAATTATATATATATAATTTTAATTATATATAATTATATATAATTATATATGAGAAACATTTTTTTCGGGATTGTATAAAAATATCTTGTAATTTCCATAGTTTAAAATGGCTGTGCTTCTATTTTTTTAAAGTTAAAGAGTTGCAATTTATGTGTTATATTTTAATACCGTTCGCAGAGTTTAAAGTTGAAAAAAGG